GGAAGGCGGGGAGAAGGCGAAAGGGAAGGCGGGGAGAAGGCGAAACGGGAAGACCATAACGTTGAAAAACAAAAAGCCAAACGGGAAGAAAGGGAGATGAGAGGAAAAATAGGGAAGACGACAAAGAAAAAGGTGTGACGTGGTAGGGAAGGTGGTAGGAAGGTCAGGGGAAGGCTACACACCCTCGCTTGCTCGCTCCTCGCTCCTCGTTGGCTCGGTCCTCGCTCGATCCCTCGTTGGCTCGCTCCTCGCTCGCTTGCTGGCTCCCTCCTCGCTTGCACGCTCTATCTCGCTCGCCCTCTCTCTGACTCTCTCCCTCGGTCACTCTCTCTCCATCTCGCTCGCTTGCTCGCTCACTTACTCTCCCTCCTCACTCGCTCCCTCCTCGCTCGATACAGCTAGCTTGCTCTCCCTCCTCGCTCGCCAGCTCGCTCTCTCCCTCCTCGCTCGTTTCCTCGCTCGGTCCCTCCCCGTGCTTGCTCGCTCCTTCCTCGCTCGCTTCCTCCTCGCTCGCTCGCTCTCTCCTTGCTCGTTCGCTCGCTCTTCGCTCGCTTCCTCCTAGCTCGCTCGCTCCTCGCTCGCTTCCTCCTCCCTCTCACTCGCACGCTATGGTCTTACTCGCTCCCTTGTCGCTCGCTCCTTGCTCGCTTGTTATCTTTCCCGCTCGCTCTCACTCGCGCGCTTACTCTCGCTCTCGATCGCTCGCTTCCTCGCTCGCTCGCTCCTTGCTCGCTTGCTATCTTTGGCGCTTGCTTGGCCGGCCGTTGTCTTTCCCACTTGCTGGACTCCTGCTTGCTGTCTTGCTCGCTTGCTGGACTCCCAACCCTTCCTCGCTCGCTCGCTCCTTGCTCGCTTGCTCGGCCGGCCGTTGAATCGCTTACGAAAAAAAATACTTCGGCTCTTTTTCCCACTCGCTCAGCATCGAGGCCGTACGGTCTCTCGGTCGGTCGGTGCACTTAGTCGGCCCGGCCTTTGGTCGGTCCGTCCGCCCGTTGGGTCCACCCGTCGGTCGGTTGGTCGGGCCTCACCACTCGTTGGGTCCACCCGTCGGTCGGGCGGGCGGGCCTCACCACTCCATCCGCCCTGCCAAGGTGAAACCAGATCACTCGGTCGGTCGGGTTGTCTAAAGTTATCCTGGTTGAGGCTGCCAGGATAACTCCGGGTTCAATTGTGAGGTCTAAAGTTATCCTGGCTGAGGCTGCCAGGATAACTCCGGGTTTGTGAGGTCTAAAGTTATCCTGGTTGAGGTTGCCAAGATAACTCCGGGTTGAATTGTGAGGTCTAAAGTTATCCTGGCTGAGGCTGCCAGGATAACTCCGGGTTGAATTGTGAGGTCCCCGGCCTCGTCCCAATTTTTTTTTTTTTTTTTGAAAAACACTCGAATTCAATTCAAAAAGGAATCAAGTACTGAGGTCGGGGACCTCACACTTCAACCCAGAGTTATCCCGGCAGCATCAGCCGGTTTCACTTGCAGCCATCAGGGCTGGAAAACCATCCAACATCAACAGAGCAACACAGGAATCGAACTTCAATCCAACAATCCCCACTCAGACTAGAATCACTACTACAACCCTATCCTTGCTTCACACTAAGACAAACCAATCACTGATTACCTAAAATTCTAGTGTGAAAAGAACCAAGAGCCTGCCATATTACTTACGTCGTCCCAATGTCTTGCAATAAATGGTTAACACTTTCCGAAAAAAAAAAAAAAAAAAAAAAAAAAAAGTGGCTGTCTAATGTACGAAATGTAGGTAGTAACAGCATCAGGCTTGTCTAAACCTAGGAACCAGGACACTCAGTCCCTGATAGGGCCGCTGTGGGCCGGTAGGAGTGTGTCAGTTGGTAGGGACTTAGTGGGAACAGGATACTCGGCCCCTGCTAGGGCCGCTGTGGGCCATTAGGAGAGTGTCAGTAGGACCAGGACGTCAGTCCTTTGGGCCGAGTTAGTCCCAGATTAGTTCTGAGAAGGTCTCTCACTAAGCTATTCTACCATTGGATATGAGAAGTCTCACTGTAGTATTGTAATATGAGGTCGTGGGGCATGCGTTGTAGTGGTAACAGTTATCAAGTTGCTTGAAGTTCAGGCTCAGACTCAGTTACTGGGTTGGTCGCTTTGAAAGGCATAGTTAGTTCATTTGTTATACTCTGCATTTGCAAGAGTATCCGCAGGTCTCCTACCTGTAAGCTAAGCTGGCTGATGCTGTTAGATACCCCCAGGTTGAAGTGTGACGTCCCCGGCCTCTGTGTTGTATTGTTAATGAATTGTGGATTGATTAAAAAAAAAAAAAAAAAAAAAAAAAAAAGCAGGGTGAAAGTTGGGGG